TCAAAGACGGTGGCATCTTCTGCCTCGCGGGGGGTAAAATCCAACCGAAAGTCGACTCAAGTTTCGGGAAGGTGTCGACGAAAGACATAGGAAGAGCGCAGTATTTGCTGACGAAAGCGACGCTTTCCATTCGTGTGCCAGCGGTGCGGGCGGTGAGGGCAGAGGGCGCGTGAGTGAGTGAGTGAGTGAGTGAGTGAGTGAGTGAGTGAGTGAGTGAGTCGGCGAGTGAGTGAGCGAGTGGTGAGTGAGCGAGTGAGGGAGCGAGTGTGTGCAGGAGCGAGTCGGCGGGTGAGCAAGTGCGTGAGCGAGCAAGCAAGTGAGTTGTGAATGGGTGACTGAGCAACTGAGTGAGTGAGCGAGCGAATCGGGGGGAGGGCGCGCGCGAATCGACTTAGTGCACGTACAGCAACCACATGTCTTGCATCACGGGTGATGAGGAAACCCCGCAAAGCCTCCTCTGTGTTCCGCAAACTTTCGAATGAATACTCCTGAACGGCGCAGCACGAGGTTGCGGGAACTGCATTTTCTTTTTCCATTCATACGACATGCGTCACAGGCGATGGCTTTTACGACCGACCGCAGCCGTTCTCAGCAAGCTTTTGCCTTCCCCTCGCCGTGCCACTACTTCGTCTGCCCTGTTTGCTCAGGCACTATGGCGGCTCTCCCCGGCCGCAGCCTCGAACCTCGGTTCTTTGCTGCAGGGCGGCTCGGTGCGTCCTCATCCGTCAGGCGCTATCCTGCCACCCGCGAAGGCATCGGACCCAGACCCGTCGATTTCGTCGGCTCGCATCGACCCCGTTTCCTGAGGTAATGTGATCGTGCTCCCTCCTCCTCCTGTTTTCACGCAGCTGCCTCGGCTTTCTCCGGCGCTGCCCACGTGCAGGTTCGTGTTCTGCCGCTCAGGTTTCCTCGCTGGTGGACGGAACGCCACTCCGACGAGGCGGGTGTGGAAGCACGGCAGTCGCAGTCCGAAGCGCGCGACACGGAACTAAGGCTTGCGATATGGAGCGCAAGATCCTCGCGGAGTGCTTCCAAATGCGCCGCCAACGCAGAGGCCAGGCAGAAGCGCGAGCCTTCTGCAGCACCGACATGTTCGCCGCCAGACCCGATGATTTACGACATGTACCAAGAGGCGGGTTGCACCAGGGCTACTTGGCGCAAACTACTCGCGTTCAGGCACGCGGCGCGCCCCCACCTAAGGGGCGCTGCCATTGTCCGGCTTGGGCCATGGTCGCGACATTTCGGGTGAGGCGCGGCGCTTCTCGAGCTCGCGCGACTTGCAGCAAGAGCTGCGTGCATCAGGCAGATAGAGGATTGGGCGTTGCGGCACGGATCTAGAACTGGGCTTTGGAGTACCATACTTTAAGACTTTTTTTGAGACCTGTTCCTTAAAGGAACCATTATGAAATAAAAGTCTATACTTTTTTCTCCCTGGTTACTTCAAAACCCAGTTTTTAGGGTTCCTTAAAAGGATCTAGAAGGTTTTATTTCTGTAATGTTTCCATAAGGGTACTGTAAAGGTTCTAGATGGGTAGTTCTCGAGATTAAGGTCCCTTTTAGTAGAAGGAATTTGGGGGATCTAAACAGGGGCCCTAAATTAGAGAACCACACATTTGGGGATGAAGGTTGTGTGTTAGGGTGTAATATAGGGGCCTTAATAAGTAGAATGGGATTTTGGGTGTTCCTTGGTATAGTGATAGTATAACAGACCCAAAGCCCTATTCTAATTATTAAGGCCCCTATATTCCTGTAAATCCTATGAAACCCCCTAAACCCTAAAGTTTAAACCCTATCAAAATCTTAAACCGTAATTGCAAGATACATTCCTTGATTAAGGGGTATTGGGCTCTCTGAAAGCCCGAAGCCCTAAACCAGCCCAGAACCCTGCAACAAGATATTCTGACATGTCGTTGTGAAGCTGGTACAAGCGAGTAGATAGCTGTATGTTCACAGGCACATTCGTATGTATTTTCGCATGCATGGACGGATGGATGGATGTACGAGCTACACGACACAGAGAATTTAGTGTGTCAGATAAGGAGCAGCCCCACACTACTTGACCAGAATCCTGCTTGGACACAGGAAATGCCGTTAGAATGCGATGAGCCATTGCCTTTGAGCTATCCGGGGTGTCGGTGTTTGAATGTTCTGTAGTTTCGAGACTAAGCTTATCATCAACCCATCCTTCATTCAGAAAGCCTTCAGCATCGAAGCGGTTTTTGCTCGTAGAGGATCTTGTAGCATGCATGGTGTTCAGTAGCCAAATATTGTCTGTCGGGATCATGTAGCATGCATGTTCTTCGACAGACAAACCGTATCCGATCATAGCACCACGCCTGAAACTTTTAACTCTGATGCCTGGACAACGAGTCGAAGCACCAGGTGTTTGGGAGACGCCGGCGGATGAGTGGCAACGAGCTTGTGCCGGCTTCTGAGACAGGGGGGAACGCCCACACAATTTGTGGTTATAAAGTAGCAGAAGCAGGAGCAGCGGCAGGAGCAGGAGGAGCAGGAGCAGGAGCAGGCGGAGCAGCAGGCGGAGGAGGAGGAATACGGAGTAAGGAGTAAAGGAGCAAGAAGTAAGGAGTAAGTAGTCAGGAGTAAGTAGTAAGCAATAAGTAGTAGTTAGTAAGTAGTAATCGTAAGTAGCAAGGCAGTAAGCAATAACCAGTAAGCAGTATTCAGTAAGCAGTATGCAGTGAGGAATGAGGAGAGTAATGGGCAGTAAGTAGGAAGCAGCAAGTGGCAAGCTGCAAGCAGCAAGCAGGAAGTATTAAGTGGTAAGCAGCAAGTAGCAATGGGTAGTGAGCAGTGAGTATGGTGAGTAGTGAACAGTGCATAGTGCGTACTGAGTAGCAGCAGCAGCGCAGCAGCAGCAGCAAGTCTCCTTCATTTTGCTAGTGAAGGATAGGAATGTGGCAACTGACATGTTGTGGCCGACGCATCCTGCCTCTCAAGTTCAAACGAGCTTCGACTGAGTCAGCGGGAGTTGTTATTCCAGAAATCCATTGAAACCTTCTAAGACATGCCTGAGGCAGTAGCTCTTCCACCCATGAAGTCCTGCACCCACACCCCCTTGCGATTCTGCGGCCAGCCTCGTCGCACATTCTGTCATGTTGCATGTCTGGAAAGCTTCGGGAGAACTCTTGCTTGCCACGGCAGTGGAAGATCATTGCGATGTACGCACTCTAAAGCGGCAGCTTCACAAGTTGAGCGGGGTACCTCGATTTCGACAAAGGCTTCTGAAGGACGGCACCGTCCTTGAGGATGCGGCCAAGCTGGATGGGCCTGCTGACTTGCAGCTATTACTGCTGCCATTCTGCAGCACAACCTACGAACAAGTGATCCAGCTGCATAAAGCGGTTGAAAATGGCGAGGTGTCCGTGCTCGAACAAATTCTGCACCGACCACAAAATCCAGATCTACAGCTGGAAGACGGGTCGGACTGGGACAGGGATGAGGATGGCAGCCATTTAGATAATTACCGGAGCGCTCCACTGACTGTTGCATCTGGCGCCGGTGCTATGGAGCTTGTGGAGCTGCTCCTTGAAGCCGGCGCAGACAAAGATGGCCTCTTTGAGCTGGATGATTATCGCGCTTTCACTCCTCTTTGTGCTGCGTGTGACTGCAGCCTGGAGATTGTGAACTTACTCTTGAAGTCAGGAGCTCAGCCAAACGGGATTTCCAAGAAAGGTGCCGCAAAACCTTTGTGCGAGGCCGCCAGGGCTGGCTGTCTGAGCATTGTCCGCACACTTCTCGAGGCTAATGCTGACAAGGATGCCACCGACGGATCAGGGGAGACTGCCCTTTGCAAGGCATCGCGAAATGGCCACTTGAATGTCGCAAGATTTCTTTTGGAAGTGGGGGCCGACATAGATGCCTTGTCTGAGGTTGGCAGAGAGATTTCTTGGCGGGGTGGTGGTGCAGCGCCAATTTCGGCAGCATCACAAGCGGGCGATGTAGATATGGTTGGTTTTCTATTGTCAGCTCATGCATTTGTAGAGACACGCAATACAAAGTGTGAGACTCCACTGTCGACGGCATCTTACCACGGGCATTTGGAGATAGCGCGTTTGCTTCTGAATGCATTGGCTGAGCCGGATGTATTCGATAAACTTGGCCGAACTCCTCTGTGCGTTGCATGTTGGTCTGGCCACCTATCTGTGGCAGCTTTGCTTCTAGACGTTGGTGCTGACAGGGATGCCTTCGATGAACATGCAGCGGAAGATCATTTTCGTCTGAAGGACATTGAATGGTGGGTTCATGCTACACGTCGAAGCTCCCCCGTTTTGGGGAGCCCTCTCTGGGTGGCGGCATGCCGCGGCGACGTGGACATCGTGCGTGTGCTTTTGTCTGCTCGCGCAAATACTGAGGCGAAAACTCGTCATGGCGAAACCCCCCTCCTCGGAGCATCGCGAGAAAGCCGCATTGAAATCGTGCAGTTGCTCTTGCGAGCGGGCGCCTGCACGGATGCTGGTGATGATCATGGTGAGACCCCTTTGTGTGCAGCATCAGCCACCGGCAACCTGCGTGTCGTGCAGCTACTGTTGGAGGCTGGCGCAGACCTGACCCTTCCCAACAACAGGGGTGAAACGCCTGATCGCGTAGCAGCAAATGCGGGCCATGCGCAGGTTTGCTGCAAGTTGCTGAAACGCAAGTCTAGAGTTGCTGATTCCCCGCAACTCGAGATCAGCAAGCGGCAGAAAAGTGTTTGCCGGAGAGCCTACATGACACCAAGAGTGAGCGACAGCCGCCACAGAGGCTTCATAGAGGTATCTACTCGTGGCCTTGATGTTTTACAGAAACCTAAACAATCACCTACATTTTTCCTCTGGTTTCCTTTTTGCAACTATACTATAAAAGGCCCAAAACACCAGTCCAATGATAAAGGCTCCCATATTAGATCGTTCCTTCGCGGGGGACGGCACTGCGTCCAGTTTGGCCACCCTCAGCAACGGTGGTTATAATTCTGCTGTAAGACCCCAATGCTAGACCCTTTTTCCCTTTAGCACATAACACAGAATCCTTCGAGTAGTAGTAGTAGTCGTCGTCG